GGAAGAGAGACGTTCAGCTGGGTATGTGGTCCATCCTCGCCTAACTACAATCTAGTGCAAAGATGACTGATCCCGAATTAGTTGCTGCCGCGAAGGCCTACCCCAATATCCATGTCGTGAAGTACGATTGGCTCGAAGACAGCCTTCAAGCCCGACGCCCGAAGAGCGAGAAGCCTTATCTCTGGAAGACTATCATGAGGGCGAAGCTGAAGGAGCAGAATCGGAAGAGAGCCGAGATGCGCAGGGCGCTGAAGCAAGACGGTAAGTGTCACTACATTCATCTAAAGGACCACCAACCACTGACACCCCCATAGCCGCCGCACACCGCCAGGGCTGCAATCAGGCGCTAAAGGACCTGAACTCTGGTACGTCCAAGCGCAAAGCCAAGAACTCAAACACATGGTTCACCTCCTCCCTCGCCTCTCTCGAAGCTGCACGCTCCGACCGTGCCGCCTACAAAGCCGCTGCTGCCACCCTACCCACCCCCAGCCCTGACAGCCAGCACTCTCCCCACCCCAATGCCCAACCCTCATCCACTACCCCATCCCCTCCCGCTCCCACCCCCACCCCACCCACTGCCCAGCCTCCTCCCGCCCCCTCTCGGGCCGCTGCAAAGGCTGACAACGGGGTGGCCATGCGCTTCCTAGACCTCTACCACTTCCACCGCGACCGCACCAACTTCATCTACGACATCGTGCTCGCGCGCATCGACCTCGCCACCAACACTAACTCGCGCTACCTCCTGCGCCTCTACGAGACCAACACGCTGCCTCACGCGTACTGTACCGTGCTGCGCTACATCACGCCCAACATGCCGGCGGGGCCCGCGAAGCAGTACGTCGCGCCCATGGGCAGCAGCTTCGAGGTTGCGTTCCGCGCGTGGCGGAGTGTGTTTCAGCAGAAGACGCTGTTGGCGTGGGAGGAGCGGTTGCTGGAGGAGGGGGAGAGGGCGGAGAGGGTTAGGGCGAGAATGAAGAAGGGGGATTGTCCGTTTTTTTATCGGGCGCCCATGGTGGGGTTGGCGAGGGGGGTGTTTCCCGGGGAGGAGTTGAGGGGGGAGGTGGGGGGGAAGGGTGTGAGGCTGGAGATTTAGGAAAGTGGTTCTTGGGGGTGAGCTGGAGGTGGAGAGGGGGGAGGGCTCGAAGGTTGGGAGTTAGGTTGAAGGGGTAGGGGCGGAAGAGATATGGGGATTGGGGTGCTTTTGCCTGTGAGCTATTGCTTCGGAGTGCAGGTTGGGCATTGCGAGTTTGCGGTATCTTGGGTTATTATTGGAGCTTGGAGCTGCGAGCTCGAGGCTTGGTTTGAGGCTTTAGTCATGAGGGTAATGAGTTGGCGAGCAGAAACATCTGGCATGCACTCATACGGCATCTTCACAAAATACACATCTTATGAACCATGACAATGCTTGGTGTACTAGCTCAGATTTTTTATGTTGACCGGCTTCTGTCAAGACTGACACTGCAACATATGGTTGAGCTGAGTGGATATGCCGTGTGCATACGTAGACTGAGGTAGGACTACCCGAAGGTGAGTTTGAAGCATCCTGCCAACCCAGACTTTCCGCCTATCTTGCGACCTATCGCTGTGAGAGTTGGACTGAACGGTTTGGTTCAGAGAGACTCCTTGTAACAAGGTTTCTCTTCTCGGGTGTGGTCGTGGAACTTGCATGCGGTGCTGCCAAGGCGTGTCCATCCATGTTGTGGATCTCTGATCTCGAAAGCCGCACGAGAAGATCCGCAGTAAACTCTGAGGGGACGAAAAACTTTCCAAGCTCCCTGCTTTTATCGGCCTTCAATCGGGTGGCAGCGACTTCCACTACTAACCGCCTCAACGGGGATCCAGCCAGCGTCTCATTGTATACAATTCCGATGTCCCCCAAGTGAAAGGTAGCGAGCTGCGGTGAGTCATATAGGTGGACAAGCATGTCCATGACGGCGTCCTTGAAGTTTGTGTCCAAGATGCGCTCTCCAAGGAGCCAACACTTGATGAGACCGGATACCTCCTTCCTGGCTACCTCGTCCCTCTTCTCGAGCGATTCTTCAAGGCCAATCTCTCCTGAGGTATGGATTTTGCGAGAATAGATCCAGGAGCAGTAGATTCTGAACTGGTCAGGTGAAGTCTCTGGGAGCGGCACGACACCGTCAACAGATTCACGCCAGCCGCCTCGCAGAGCACCAGCGAAGAACCCAGAGCTCTCGCGAAGTAGATTCTCGTGAACGAAGAAGTCTTCAGACTTGTTTGGAGGGCCGACCCGGACGATCACGGTCGGAGAACTAAAGCTAAATGGATGTCAGCTATTATGGTCCACCACTCTCTTCATTGTCGACAACGTACTCGAGGACTTTGGAGGCGGGACGTCGGATATCAGCCATGTTGAGCTGTCTGAGGGCAGCCAACGCCGTCGGGCCGGAGGTGAAGAGGTTGACGTCGTTGTAGCAGCACAAACGGAAGTTGTGGATCAAACCATGAAGGTTCGTGTCGTGAATCTGTCAGGACGCGGTGAAGTGATATATGTCTGCGCACGGACCGCCACACGTGAGCGAGCCGGCTCCGTTAAAGCATGGAATGGTCCGACACCGTCTGAGGTGGCCCAGAGAGTTATTAGCCTTGCCAAAGTAGCGTTTCACGGATTTTTCCAATGTGCCAGAGCACCCCAGGCGGTGCTAGACAAGTGTACAATGTGGAAGGTTGTAGGGAGTGTGTTACTAGAGGAAGTAGATTACAGAATAAATTATCAGATGGGGAGAGTTTCCATTCTGTGTTTAAGGGAGCAGGCTGGCATGACTTGGAGACTGGAGCCTATCAGGACTGTGTTGCTCATACTCCTTTCATGCAGTCCGACACTGTCTGAGGTGGCCTGAAGAGTTACTAGCCTTGTCAAATTAGCGTTTCACGGGATATTCCTGACGTACCAGAGAACCCCAGGCGGTGCTAGGCAAGTGTGGAACATGGGAGCTTGTAGGTAGTGTGTTGCTAAGATAAAAGAGATTTTAGAATTAAGCGTCAGAATCAAAGAGTTGTTCGTTTAGTCCAGCAGGAATGTCCTACTGGCGCTCGTATGAAACCTAGGGAGATCAGCATCCTAGCTTTAGTAGAATCAAGGCTGACGTTGAATAGAGGCTGTAGCTGGGCAGATCCACAATATTGTCTGAGTACAGCTCCCCATCTAGATTCTTTTCTTATTGACATCATACCCAAGTAATTAGAGTCGCAACTTCATCTACAAAAGCCCTAGATAGCCTAGATCTGTAGGCCATTCTATTAAGATGAAATATAAGACCTCAATCAGTCAGGGCTGGACCCTAGAGATGAAAATTAAAAAGACGCTGGTGAAACCGCTCGTGAACCTCTCCAATATCGAAAAGGCGGTCTGTTAGAGCTGGCGCCCTGACTGAAGGCAGTTCGTAGTGACACAACCATACAGTGACAGGCCACAAGTCTAGGTCCACTGGTTCACCACTGCATGGGGTACCCCCATAGTGTTCAGAAGTTCTAAGGGCGATGTCGAGGTTCAAGCAGTGTAGATTAGACTGCCTCTTGACTGTTTAGCTGCTCAGTAGCCAGGCTACCCCCAACAGTGGTGTCTTGTGAGCAAGTTTGAGCCAAGCAATGGTAAATCATGTGCCCAGACCTAAGGCCTAGTACTGTACTTATCAGTGCGGCACATTTCGGAGGTCATCCGTGATGTCACGTATGCTCTGGCACGAAAGGCCTCCAGTCGCTTCTGATGCCGCTCAGGTGTCCTTATAGCACGCTTTGCCTTCCCTCTTGTGCTCGTGGAACGCGCAGGGGTTTTTAAGCCATTGTGGTTTGTTATCGCGGTTCTTGCCTCGTACTGCGGCGAGTCCGTGCAAGAGTTCCTGGAGAAATTCCCGAGGTAGTTCCACATCTCCGTAATGGTCGATGAATTCCTCGGTGCACTGTTGAACGATCTGCTCGATGATGAAACGCCTGAGCATGGATCCAGGCAACGTCTCTTTGTATATCACTGCTACGTCGGCCTTCGCATTGATGAACGAGGGAGCGTCTTCGACTAAGTGAATGAGTGCATCCATGACCGTGTCCATGAATTTTGTGTCCATGAGACGCTGTCCCATCGTCCAACACCGAACGAGACTCGACATCTCCCCCTTGAACTCGGTTTCGACTTGCGGCTGTACCGGCTTCTTGTCATAGCCGTCTGGGGCGCTATAGATCTTGCCAGAATAGAGCCAATGGAAGTAGATGTTGAAATGGTCTGGTGAGAGGTCTGGAAGTGGGATCACCCGCTCAATCGATTCGCGCCATTCGCCTCGGAGAGCAGCGGCGAAGAAGTCTGAGCTCTTGACGAGAAAGGAGTCGTGGATCAGAAAATCCTGAGAGCGGTTTGTAGAGCTGACTCGAACAGTGACCACGGTCGATCCTATGCTAACTTGTGTTAGTATGCACGTATTTGTTCAACTGGATTCGGAGAGCTTGCCCGACTGCCTGGGAGGCGGGACGCCGGACTTCGGTCATCTTGGCTTGCAAGAGTAATAAGATGAAAATAGGAGAGACAGCAGAGTGTGGCCGAAGGATCTACGAAGTAGGCTGTGATATGATGTGATATGCTGTGGTGGTGGTTGTGGTTGTGAGGAGGGATGTCCTTGCTACGGTACGAAAGATTCAGCCATTTATATATTAGCTCCCCCAAAACTTGCTTGCTGTCAGTGAATCGACCACGAATTCCCATTTTCATCGTGTGGAAAAAGACACCGAATCGGGAGGGATGGAGAATCCAGAGAGAGAAGAAAGGTAGCAGCAATGAGCTGCTACTCTTCAAGCAAAGCTTAACGGAGCTAGAACAAAGATGTTGAAAGCTCGTAGCGTTAGCAATAGCACTAAAGCACACATAATCCATCAACTCGGTCACATCACGCTTCCAACGCCAAAGTCTTCATCCTAAAACCCACAAAAACAACACCCACCAAAAAAACAAACCCTCAACCCTCACCCCATCTATCAGAAGAGCAAAAAAAGATTACTCGGACTGAGGTTTGAACTCAGGACCTTCAGTGCAACTAATGTTACTGCTTTGGTATTAGTATTGAAAACCTCGAATGCGGTTTGGAACTGGGATAACCTACGACTGACGTGATAACCAACTACACCATCCGAGCTTAATAAGCGGTATCAAATATAATTGCAGCTATCATCTAAGAGGCTCGGGAGGTGCGAGATGATGGCGTTGGTGATGATGTGTTGGCGGTGTGAATATTGCAAGGAGGAGTGGAGTAGGAAGTGTGAGGATGCCCCGCTGACCTTTCCGCATTCGGCTGGGGAGGGGGCAGTCAAATGATTTGACTGCGAGCTGTAGCATCTAATATTAGGGGGAACGCAACGTTATGTACATAGAGCGCCCCTGTTTTGCTACTAGCATCGATCGTTCTAGGTGATAGTCATGATCCAACAAATAATACTCTTTTTCTTCGCGATTCAAGATTTTCTACGTATAATGGAACGCATGTCAATTCAATAGCATTGTGATGTCCAACTACGGTTAGAGATCTGATCCTCATAATTTTTGAACATTTCGACTGGATGTACGGCTGTACCTTCAAAAAGTTCACAAGTCAGCATAGAGGCACGAGTTTAGCATTGAAAGCCACGAAGAAGCGTGGCGCATATTCTTTACTTATTTGTACAATAGCAGTATTAATATCCTGGGTGGAGAGCATAACCAACTCGTAAATCCATCCCGCTGTATAGCCAAAGAAATCATGTCGATGAGAACGTAAGCATATCCAGGCGCCATCCTAACCCGAGCCCAAGAAACCTGTCCTGTGAAGCCTAAAAGAAACCCCATAGAGTGAAACAAAAAAGAGATAGATGTGAAGGGCCGGCTATGAACACTCCTAATATCACAGGTGCTGAGCGTGAAGAGGTACGTATGCTTGCACTGTATCACGCTATACCCAAAAAGAAATCGATGAACCAACTGCCGTCTCTTAGTTCTTTTGCACAAACTCCTCAACCCGCATCGTCTCCCCACTTGGGCGGGGCGACACATCAACGACGCTGCTGTCGGGTGTCCACGCGGTGGAGGTGCTTGGTGTGTATTCCCTGAACCCGTTCACAACTACATCACTGCTGTCCTCGGCATCCTCATACGCCGGTGGCTCAGTACTACCAGACTCAGACCGGCAATCAGCCTCAGACCGGTAGTCCGGAAGGCTACTTGTGCGGCTCGGCGGCTCCGAGCTCATCACCGGCAGTTCCGCAATCGTGAAGGCTGGGTGCGAGTTCGGCTCCATACCCATGTGGATTTGTCTCTGCAGCTGCTCATGTTGAAGCGACGACATGGCTGAGCGCCCTTCCTCCGCTTGCACTAGACTATTTACGACGCCATGCGCAGCTCGGAATTGTCTGATCTCTTCTTGCATCGCGGCCTCGAGGATGCTTTCTTGCTCGTTAATGAGCGCTCGTTTCTCCTCATAGTCGGCGATGCGTCCAAGATCGTGATTGCGGTACCACCAGCTAGCCCATGCCTGGCGGCGGGCAGCTCGACGGTATTGGCGTGCGGTGCGGCGCTCCTCTCTTGCAGCACGGCGGTCAGTGCGGGCGCGGAGGGTACAGCACCGGCGGTGGAGGAAAGCGACGAGGGCGGTCAGACCAAGGGCGGAGGCGAGAATGCTCAGGGCTTTGACGAGGGGAGAGTGAGGTGGGGGAGGGGGACCGTGGTGATGGCCATGGTGAGGGGGGCCGTGATGTGGTGGTGGTGGAGGCGGAGGTGGAGGTCCAGGAGGATGGCCCTCAGGTGGTGGAGGAGGCGGCGGTGTGTGGGAACAGTTCCCGTTACACACCGCGTGTATTTGCTCCGGCAGGCCGTGAGTCTGCCAAACGGCGTGGTAGGGGTCGTTAGGCCCTCCCATCGGTGGAGGGGGGTGATGTGGACGGAGTCGAATATAAATGATCTTGACAGCGCCGTGTGCCTTTCGTGCAATCGTCTTAACTATGCATGTGAGGCTGTCACACTGCTTCAGCTCCGCTTTGAGACTAGCGGCGTCGTGCCGGAGATGTTCTCTGATGCGTTGCTTCTTCTCGCGGATCTGGTCCCGAAGTACTTTGGCCTGCTGTTGAAGGTGTTTGAGCTCGGCGATCTCCTCCTCGATAGAGTGGAATTTTAGTTGGGTTTCCTCGACAGTTCCCTCAGATAGACGTAAGTGTGCCGGCGGTTCTCGCCAGGAGTCGGAGAACTTCTGGTCGCCTGCGGTAGGATCGGGGAACAGTTCAAGCCTGAGTAGCTCCGGAGGAGACAACTGCTTGAAGGAGATGGTGAAACCAGAAGACTGTGGAATCGGCCTGCCATCAATGGCTTTGATATTCACGGTGAGAACTTGAGCATTCTCAGCGTCGGTAGGTGCGTCTTTAGATTCGGGACCCTCGAGGCAGGTTGAGCCCCAGGATAGGTCCAAGTCGTGTGTGCGGAACCATTCATTTTTCTCTAGGTCAGACACTCCCTCAAAAGAACCTTCGCCGTGGCCGTGGTCGCCGGTCCATTCCTGAGCGAGGTAACGGCCATTAAGCGTGATGTTAGAAACGCCACAGGGTGACTCGGATGAGAATGCCTGGAAGCTGAAGGTCTAATGAGGAGAGGTAAGCTTGAGTTCAATGATACTGCTGCCTGAGGTGTAAGGTAAGCACAGAGTATACGTACGAGGGACTCGTCATCGTGGCTGTTAGGCTCTTGGCTCAGACAGCCAGGACACGGGATGCTGAATGTCGCCGTTGCTTGCGAGTCTTGCAAGTCTAGATGTTATTTGTTAGCAGCTGCCTGGACGGAGTGGATATATAAGAGCAAGGGCGCACCAAGCTCGATGGTAGGATTTGTCGCTTCTGCATTGTCAAGATTCCCATGTCCCGGTGGACCCGGCGGTGGTGGGATGGCGGCAGAAGAGACGAGAGCTGGGAGAGCCCACGCCCAGGCCAGCGACTTCAAAGAGGGCCGCATGGTTGAAAAGAAAGAAGAGAAAGAGCAGAACGACTAGGAGAAGAGCAAAGACAACAGAAGCACTACGATTTGGCTTAAAAAAATCTCCAGTCCCGGCGCGAGAGTAGTGAACAGCTGTCCCAGAGATCAGATTCCAGGCACCAGCAACTCGGGGAACCCTTCGTATTATTGGCGTCGACGCGAGAAACAGTCTAAGCCTGGCTGGGTGAGGGCTGATGCACAGCCTGCGTGCCCTGCCGCGTCACCTCGATGCGCCGAGTGGGGCCTCGAAGCTCATGGAGGCTTTCGCATCTCCTGGCAAAGCTTCAATTGCATCTTAATAGCTGCGTTGATAATAGTTAAATAGTAGTGACAGTGCGACAGAGCAGCGAGCGGTACCGAAGCTTGAGGGTATGAGGTACCGTGGAAGCATTTGAAAACACCACGTTTCGCTTGCGAGAACTGTAGCTCAACGTCCAAAATCGCGGTGGTACGTACCGTCCCTCTGCCGATTGGCCTCCACATCTGCAGGGCTGCAGCCTTGTCGCGGCCTCCCAGGGTTGGATTGATTCTGTGGTGACATGGCGCCCATTGGTCGAGGCCCTATAAAGCACGTGACTCATGCCAAGCGCTAAACACGCAACCCCGCGACTTTTCCGTCACACTATCAACACTGAAGGACCTACCGAGCCCACCAAAACCCCCGCATCCGACATATACGCACCTCAGCTCCTTCTCAGCGGTTCTCGGCGCAGACGCCCTCAGCAAAATGGCACGTCCCCTCCCCCTCCTGCTTCCTTCAGCTCTATTCGCAACCTCGAACATCGCAGACAGGACCCTAGCTGACCTGTATCAAGCTTCCTCTCGGCCTCCTGACAGCTGCGCAAGGCCATGCGATGCTCGTGGAGCTCAAGAATGGCGAAACCCTTAATGGCCATCTTGTTAGCTGCGACACGTGGATGAACCTGACCTTGAAGGAGGTCGTCCAGACCAGCTCGGATGGAGACAAGTTCTTCAGGATTGCTGAAGTATACGTGCGCGGAAACAATGTACGTTTGGACAACTATTGGATCCTGGAACACCCACTAACAAGCTGCAGATTAAATACATGCGCGTTTCAGACGACATTGTCGACATCGTGAAGGAACAACAGGCCAAAGACCAGGCAGCGCGTGCGGCTCGGACCGGGCAAGACCAGAGGGGTGGACATGGTGGCAGAGGCGACCGTGGACGAGGAATGGGTCGTGGCGGCCGTGGACGTGGCCGTGGCAGAGGCGGTTCGTGAGAGCCGAAGACGCGGAGGAAGACCGCCCTATAACGAACGCTTAGATGCGGGAAGTACGCCATGGAGAGGAGGTATTATGGCTCTTACTGCGCCTATTGCCTGCGCTGCACAGTCGGCGAGGCTGGCGTTATTCGAAAGAGGATATTGGTTCGCAAAGAGAACCTCAATGGGATTAATTCGCGAATATGGCTAATGACCATGCGGGTCATAGTGCAAATCACCTCGGACAATCGAACTAGGCAAACGCTGAGGATGTAAGTGAGGTACAGTGCAAGACCACGAAGTTGGTTCTCCAGTTCCTCATCAATCAAAAAAAACTACTCTCAATCGATTAGCTGTAAAACTGTCACTTTCATCAGTTTTTCTTGCGTGAGATAATACGCACGTCGGCAGCGCCTAGAAAGGGACACTGTTCACCGCTCGTCTATGAAATTGCTCGTACCTTCGGCCTCTGCGACTCGACTGCTCACTCCTGCTGTTACGCCGAGCGGGGTAGTACCTGCCGTAGGTAAGCTTCCGAGTCTCGTTAAACCGCGAGAAGAGACCACCTCGGTTTGCTCAGCCCAATATTTTATGATCACTGGTGATAATCCCCCAAGCTCCACCATCAAACCCATCATCTCACTATGACGGACCTCAATATCAAAAAGAGCGACCTCGTCGGCCTGAAAGGCAAAGTCGTAGTCATCACTGGTAAGCCTAATCCCGACTCGCCCAGTTTGAGTTCGGGTTTGCTCACATTCATGCTACACCACAGGTGGATCTTCCGGAATTGGACTCGCAACCGCCCAGCTTCTCCTCAGCCTCGGAGCCCAAGTAGTCGTGGGAGACACCAACGCCCCACCCGAAGCCCTGCATGCCACGTTCCTCAAGACGGACGTGAGGGTCTGGGCCGACCAGGTCGC